ATAATACGTTTACTTTATTACTCATAAGTAGCAGACCCTAGCATAGCAACCAGACATTACTTAGAAATTATCATAGTATGATAATACGTTTACTTTATTACTCATAAGTAGCAGACCCTAGCATAGCAACCAGACATCTATTTTGAGAGAATAGGAAAAGACGTATTTTGAAAATCAGAACTTTCATGTTGTATGCTTTACTAGTCATAAAAACGTTTACTACTTTAACTAACCAAGGACAGTTAAATGGACGAAGTAGCTCATTAGGGGATGCGTGTTAACCTGGCACTCATAGTCTCCTTGATCAGCGAGTTCGGCTAGTCTAATCTTCAAAACCCAATCATCACCATGAGACATGTGAACGGCTTCAAATCTTTCCTCTGCTGTATATGTTGTTTCTCCAACGGTTAATACGTGAAAGTCCCGTCTCCTGATCCAAGACACCTAAAAATAGATGAGAATGTCCACATTTGATAGCTTTTTTTATGAGCAGTGAGATTACAGAAAATGGGTCACTCATACAATCTGGGACAACATTTAAGTTAATTAGCCCTTCATGAACAATAAGAACATGTAAATGGGCTACTTATAAAACATGATAAAACGCAAGTCCTTTAGCCTATTGTGAACGAAAGAAGTACAATAATGGCCATTTACAAAATGATGAAATCGAGTTAAGTACTTCTTTTAGAACATTAAGTAAACACAGTTTTGGTACAAAATCATGATAATTCGAGCAAATTTGAACCTTTATGAATACCAAAGACACACAATATGAGTCACAAATGTAAAACTGATAAAAGCCAAGTTTGACTCAAGTCCTGGTCAAAGGACAAATAATACTAGAAAATATTAGGGAGGGAGTATTGGATAAGATAAATATAGTTAAAATATTAGGGAGGAGTATATGATACGATAAAGATAGTTAAGATATTAGGAAGGAATATATGATACGATAAAGATAGTCAAGATACTAGGAAGGAATATATGATACGATAAAGATAGTCAAGATATTAGGAAGGAATATATGATACGATAAAGATAGTCAAGATATGAGGAGGGAGTATAGGATAAGATAAATATAGTTAAAATATTTTGGAGGAGTATATGATACGATAAAGATAGTTAAGATATTAGGAAGGAATATACGATACGATAAAGATAATCAAGATATTAGGAAGAAATATATGATACGATAAAGATAATCAAGATATTAGGAGGGAGTATAGGATAAGATAAAGATAATTAAGATATTTATTTAACAACAAAGATATCCCTGTTTTCCCTTGCTGATTTCCTCCTTTTGGCGACGAACAAGTGAAATCTGTTAGGAACCAAGATGGTTGTGAGAAGGGTAGCGCAACTACTTTCTAATGTGGGAGCACTTTACTTGCCACACGGTATTGAAACACCTATACTTTCACAATGCATGTGTAGATCTTTTTCTGGTACAGAAAATAAACAGATCTCAGGTTTTACAGTATTTAAATATTCAAGCTTTGTTATAATTATGTTACGGCCTGGCATAGCGTGGTGATTAGGGCGCGAATCCCCGTCACACCGAATATGCTCGCCCTTTCAGGCGTGGGGGTGTTATAACGTTACGGTCAATCCCACTATCCGTTGGTAGAAAGAGTAGTCCAAGAATTGGCGGTGGGTGGTGTTGACTGCTAAATTAGGGACGGCTAGCGCAGATAGCCCTCTTGTAATTCAAAACAAACCAAACTCACGTTATATTAAAGACGAAGGAAGATGTGTTTTTACGGTATCCAACAATATAAACAATGTCATCGTATTGTACGGTTTTCACTTAAGCATATGTTCTTGTAATTCAAAACAAACCAAACTCACGTTATATTAAAGACGAAGAAAGATATGTTTCTACGGTATCCAACAATATAAACAATGTCATCGTATTGTACGGTTTTCACTTAAGCATATGTTCTTGTAATTCAAAACAAACCAAACTCACGTTATATTAAAGACGAAGAAAGATGGCGTTTTTACGGTATCCAACAATATAAACAATGTCATCGTATTGTACGGTTTTCACTTAAGCATATGTGCTGCTTGTTTTAATTTGTTAATAAACTGAAGTTTAATGTTATGCTCGATAAATTAGATATAGAGAAGAATACACTGTAAAGTTTCAAGGTATGTGTAAATTTATATATTTTTAAAGAAAAATAGTTTAAAAATTAATAATCTCGTTATTTAAATACATTAAATCACAGAGACGTACCAAAAAACTGTAATAAGTCTTACTTGAAAAGGTGTGTGATATTAGCACTGTTCAACAGAACAGTGAAACTACTGAATATATAACTGACAAGACCAATACAATCTGCGTTCTACATTTTTACACCTCTTGATGTTTTCTGTTCGAAAAAAAAAAATATTCTTAAATTTTTTATCTCCACATACAAAGATTAGTTTGTTCTCTCATGTTATTGGGCTGACCACACAACAAGTCAGAGTAATTTAAACAAAACTTCCATGCAGTCTCAGAAACGAAATAGGCCGGATTCATTTCACGATTTATTTATTATGTTGCGCGCATCAGTTTTATATCCAAAAAAAAATGTTATGTTTTGTTTATTAGTTTCAAACGCTTATTGCCTTTTCCCCAGAAACGATTCTCAACGAATTCTAAGAGTTCAAGTATTTTCTGTTGATATAAACGATTAAGTAGTATTATAACGCTTCACTTTTCCTACACCTCCCGCTGATATCAGTGCAGTCATGCATAACTGGTACTGAATGAAGTGACTTTACCACCTTGATAGCTTAATACCTTAACTAATGAGTTTGTCAGTGTCACTACCAACAACATGCACGACATTAAGAGCTGGTTCCAATCATTAATATTTTCCAGTCAATAATTTTCTTTCTGTGGGCTGCTCAACATTTATGCCCACAAGCTCCACTATGTCGATAAATTAACCATAGAATAGTCTGATGCCTTCATATGGTTCACTAAAAGTTCGATACCTATAAATTAGAGCTAGGTAATAAATATTAGTGCATTGAGAGAAGCTTATGGTAACTTCTAGAGAAGACTGTAGGAATTCATTTATAATTGTTTGTTGGTATAAATGTTTTGGTCATTGTATAAATCTAGATATCATAAACTGAAAGGCTTAAAAAAATACAATAAACTTGTACCAAACTTATCTTAGTAATCTATCTATCTATCTGGGCAGGACTACGTATTTTAATGTCCTAAGTTCGAGTCGCGATGCCACTAAACCCCCGATGCACCTTCTATCGTAGGCAGTCCTGTTATTCGGTTCTAGGAAGAGCAGATGAAGTCATTGTGGAGGCAGGTGCCGCTGAATAATTGCCATTATTCTGGTCAGTGGTTCAAAGACAGGGACGGTTTAGTCCCTGTGAAATAACTTAGACCAGTCTAACATGGGACTTAAAATTGAATTCTACTCATTAAAAAAAAAGAAATCAAATAACAAGAGCCCGAATTTGAGTCCGTTAACTATTTAATCCTCCTCATTCAATATCTAGGTTTAAACCTTGGTAATTAAGAACTTGCGCTTTGATTGAATCATGAAATGTAAGCTACATTGTAGAACCCTTTTCAACATCATCTAAGTATGAAACCTTTTTAAATAAAAAAAGAGAGGTTTGAATATACTTACTAAATATTATATTTTAAATTTTTTATTCATTTCACTAAAGATCTAAGTTTGAATCCTGCTAATGAAATACTTTGGTTATAATTCTGTTTGATCCGATTGCTTACTTAAATATTGACTTATTTCATACTTATCTTCAAGTTGCATTGAAATTATGTCTTAAGTTAATTAAATTACCTTTTTCGACACCTATATTTATTTAGCTTTGATTTGCCTACGTGTCATTAACTTAATCGAAAACAAAAATCGTTGTCATTCTTTTAGCCCAAAGCCATACAACGAGCTCTCTGTCCACCGCGGTAAATCGAACCCCCGATTCTACCGTTGTAATTCGGTAAACTTACCGCTGACCCAGTAGAAAGGATAAAGTTTAAACAATGTAGTTCAGTGTAAATTCTGTTAATTGTAAAACGATTTCAGTAAATAGTAAAACGTACATCAAGCTTCTGTTCTTACCGTTCATACACTTTGATACCTTGTAATAGTTTTACTATTTAACAAAATAAAAACCAGTAAAGAATTCGTACCTCTTCACGTTTTAAGAGTTTCAGAAAAATAACACTATCCTACAAAGCACCGAATTCATAAAGTGTGAATTTTCCTAAATGTTCATGTTTTAGAAACAAGCCATGTATCCCAGGAAACTTTCAAACTTTTACTTCTGCCAGAAATAGTGGGTAAGCCTAGACGACATTTACGTGTAAATGATGGATAGTTTAGTCAGCCTTTCTTTTTCGCGGGAAACCACATACTAAAGCTTAAAGCAACTTACAATATTGGCCAAAGAAGGATCTTGTTTGTTTGTTTCTTGGTAATTAAGCACAAAGGTACACAATGGGCTATCTGTGCTCTGCCCACAACGGGTATCGAAACCCGGATTCTAGCGTTGTAAGTCCGCAGACATACCGCTATGCCACTGGGGGGCAAGAAGGATCTAAAACGATAAAGAAAGTCATATCTTGTTAACACATGTAGTCTTGTTGAATTGAAACAGGAGATTACCGAATTCGTCTTTGTATTTTTATATTCTATATTTTGCAATCGTTCAAACCCTCGGTGACTCAGTGGTAAGTCTGAGGGCTCACAATGCGAAAAAAAAACATGTTTCAACATTCGTGACAGGTATAGCATAGATAGCCCATTGTGTAGCTTTGAGCTTAGCAACAAATAATCAAAAATAATCGTTTTCTAAACAAAATGATTATTTATAATTTTTATTTTTTGTAAGATGTGAAGTCGGGATGCTGCTGAGTTAACTCAATGAAACATTGCAGTGAGTAATTTATTTCAGCCCCGTTTCAGTCGATTTTAATTCTTTTGATTTAACGTTCTAGAAACATAATAATTACAAAATAATTCCTAATTAAAAATCCGAGAGCTTTCCAAGATCACAATTTATTTCGTTACGCATGTGTATCGGAACTGAACTTTATCAGAGTGAAAGGTGATTTTATGTACAGTTAATGAAAATGTAGTAAAGAAACAAATCTTGATCATGAACATTATCAGCTGAAGTAGGGCGTGAAGTGGGAGTACAGGTTATTCCAAATTTCCAAAACAGTCGTGGATAAAAAAAATAAATACAAAAATACAGGAAGGAAGTATTTAATACGTTAGAGAAAGTTACTGTGGTCTTATTATATCTTGTAAGGGACAAAATAGAATTTTCATCTCTTTCTCTAATTCACAGAAGAAACCATTTGTTAGCAAACCTTATCGAATTGAAACCTTATACATAATCTTCTTTTTCCTTGAAGTTGAATAAACATATGTTATTGAGCTACTAATTCTCCA